AAAAAAAAAAAGGATTTTATCTGTTCAAAACTCTTTATAAAGTGCACTTTAATGGCATAGTACTGTACATGAACATGATTAACCACTTGAGCTCCAGAGGATTTACCCCCCTTAATGACCAGGCCTCTTTTTGCTACTCGGCGCTGCACTAATTCAACTGATAATTGCGCGGTCATGCAATGCTGCACCCAAACGAAATTTACGTCCTTTTTTTGTGCACTTTTAGTGCGCTTTTTTTTCGGTTTCTAATTTGATCACCTGTGCACGCTTCACGCTAAAACAAAAAAAGGCCAAAAATTTTGAAGAAAAACAATATTTTTTACTTTCAGCTATAAAAAATATATAGTAAACTCAAAGTTGGTTATAAATTTAGGCCAAAATGTATTCTGCTCCATGTTTTTAATAAAAAAAATCCTAATAAGTGTATATTGATTGCTTTGTGTGGAAGTTATAGCATCTACAAACTATGGTAAAAATAAACTGCAATTTACACCATTTTTCTGCTATACAGCGCTGCGTTAGTTTAACGGACAATTGCCGCGCGGTCAAATATGGTACATAAATGAAATTTACATCCTTTTTTTTTTCCCCAAAATTGAGCTTTCTTTTTCGGTGGTATTTGATTGCCTGTGCGGTTTTTATTTTTTTGCGCTAAAAAAAAAAAGGCTGACAATTTTGAGGAAAAAAAACAATATTTTGGACTTTTTCTATAAAACATGTCCAGTAAAAAAAAAATGTAAAAAATCAAATTTTAGTCATAAATTTCCTGCCAAAATGCATTCTGCGACATGCCTTTGCTAAATAAAAAACCCCAATACGTGTAAATTAATTGGTTTACGTGAAAGTTATAGCGTTTACAAATGGCGGGAAAGATACTGGGATTTTTTAGGGTTTTTTTTATATACTAATAATGGCGGCGATCAGCGAATTATGGCAGCGATCAGGGACTTATGGCGGGACTTATGACTGCGGCGGACATTCTGACATTGGGGGGTACTGACTTGGGGTCACATCATCCCCAAAAACACTAATACAGTGATCAGTGCAAAAAAAAAAAAAAAACACTGACACTGTACTAATGGCAATGGGGAGGAAGGGGTTAACTTTATTTTGCAGGGAAGGGTTATAGGAGTGAGGGGGAGTGTTTTACTAGGGGGCGGGGGTGTGTACTGGACGGGACAAGGCTGATCGAGAAAGAGAAACTGTTCTTTCTCGATCAGCTCATCCTCGAGCTGACAGGGAAGTGACAGAGAGCACAGCTACTGCAGCTGTGCTGTCTGTCACTGTTTGCCGCCGATCGCCGGGACATAGCCGCTAAGGACCGGCTGTGTCCCGGTGACTCACATCTGCGGCGGTGATCGGCGGGACAGATAGGGCGGCCACGCGCGTGAGCCCCCTATTTGTTTACAAAACACACATTTTAAAACGTGGTTTTGCCTGCGACTGCCGTCCTGCCGCCGTATATGTACAGTGGCTGGGCGGCAAGTGGTTCAAAAAAAAAAAATCGTAAATGCATTGAAAACCAATGAATCTGTTCCGCAGAGGTCAGAAAAAAGTCAAAAAAGTCTTATCTGTTCAAAACTCTTTATACAGTGCACTTTAAAGGCATAGTACTGTACAGGGACGTGATTCAAAAAAATTGTAAATGCATTGAATACCAATTAATCTATTGTATTGCAAAATAAATTCGAAAAACCGAGGCATTATTTTCAATGGATTTTAATTTGTAAACTAAAATTACGCTAACCGAGGTATGCCTATAAATCTTCTCTCTACTTCAGTGCTAACCGTGCCACCACCATTAGGTGAAAAACCTGCTCACCTCACTCTATGGCCCCATCAATAGGTCATTATGCGCTCAACATGTGGACAGACGTGTACACCCTCTGTAGTCTTCCTCCAGCTCCTCTCCCGGCACCGCCACACTATACACTCCTCCAGCATGTCCTCATGTTGAGTGCATAATGACCTATTGATGAGGTTATAAAGTGAGGTGAGCAGGTTTTTACCTAATAATGGTGGCACGGTTGGCACTGAAGGAGAGAGATTTATCTTGAATGCAATGAACTGTGGTGTTATACGGGACTTTAATTATGGTTTATTGTTTATTTTTATATGAGATATTAGTCTGTTGCGCTACACTTTATTGTTATTCATATTTAAGTATAGATTCTGAAAACAGACAGCTTTTATTCATAAATTATGAACTTTGGGACCCCACTCACAATATAAAATAATAAATTAATATCAAGTGTGTACTCTTAACCGAAAAAAAAACCCTCTAAATCTATTGCTACTTTTTACATTGCAAACTTTATTGCAGATTCCTACCTTTTTGTTATTCTTAAGTGGCAGGGTCTGCCACTTAAGCATAACATTTTTTGCTGCCCAAAATCTGACTTGTATCTTAGTGCAGACTCAGTGCAGAAATTTAGTAAGCTAATCACACTATACGACAAAAAGGGGAGCGGTTGAGGGGCGGTAAACATGCAGCAGTTTTACCACCCCCAGATTAAAAACGAGCCCTAAAGGCTATTTCTCAGCTCCAGAAGACAGGGGGTGGGTATTTGACTTTGCACACTACACAGCATAGACAGGAGAGCTGAGTGTAATCTTACACCTGTGTGGAGGGAATGGACACACCCACCTCTACACATTCTCATAGGCAAACATACAAAGCTGAGGCTGTCAATCACATGCTGTGTGCTGCCGAATTGACTTATGTAGACACCAGAGAAAGGAGAGAGCAGTGTTAAAGACTGAGGCAAGTACACACTATATAGGGATATGCTTGTTTGTCATTTTTTTTATTTATGTTATTTTGTAGAAAAAAACTACCCCTGTCACCCTCTGATGAAGATTGTTAAATTCAATTGAAGTGTGTTCGGGAATTTGCCGGCATTATGAAGTGTACAGAGCTTCTCAGCCATAACCTTCAGGGGTTTCCTGTTGCATTGTGATGTTCCATTTTTGCAAAATAAATTCGAAAACCGAGGCATTATTTTCAATGGATTTTAATTTGTAAACTAAAATTACGCTAACCGAGGTATGCCTATAAATTTCTCTCTACTTCATGCTAAAGTGCCACCACCATTAGGTGAAAAACCTTCACCTCACTGTATATGACCCCATCAATAGTTCATTTTTCAACATGTGGACAGACGTGTACACCCTCTGTAGTCTTAACCACCAGCTCCTCTCCCGGCACCGCCACAGTATACACTTCCTCCAGCATGTCCTCATGTTGAGTGCATAATGACCTATTGATGAGGTTATAAAGTGAGGTGAGCAGGTTTTTACCTAATAATGGTGGCACGGTTGGCACTGAAGGAGAGAGATTTATCTTGAATGCAATGAACTGTGGTGTTTATACGGGACTTTAATATGGTTTATTGTTTATTTTTATATGAGATATTAGTCTGTTGCGCTACACTTTATTGTTATTCATATTTAAGTATAGATTCTGAAAACAGACAGCTTTTATTCATAAATTATGAACTTTGGGACCCCACTCACAATATAAAATAATAAATTAATATCAAGTGTGTACTCTTAACCCCGAAAAAAACCCTCTAAATCTATTGCTACTTTTTACATTGCAAACTTTATTGCAGATTCCTACCTTTTTGTTATTCTTAAGTGGCAGGGTCTGCCACTTAAGCATAACATTTTTTTTGCTCCCAAAATCTGACTTGTATCTTAGTGCAGACTCAGTGCAGAAATTTAGTAAGCTAATCACACTATACGCAAAAAGGGGAGCGGTTGAGGGGCGGTAAACATGTAGCAGTTTTACCACCCCCAGATTAAAACGAGCCCTAAAGGCTATTTCTCAGCTCCAGAAGACAGGGGGTGGGTATTTGACTTTGCACACTACACAGCATAGACAGGAGAGCTGAGTGTAATCTTACACCTGTGTGGAGGGAATGGACACACCCACCTCTACACATTTCATAGGCAAACATACAAAGCTGAGGCTGTCAATCACATGCTGTGTGCTGCCGAATTTTGACTTATGTAGACACCAGAGAAAGGAGAAAGCAGTGTTAAAGACTGAGGCAAGTACACACTATATAGGGATATGCTTGTTTGTCATTTTTATTTATGTTATTTTGTAGAAAAAACTACCCCTGTCACCCTCTGATGAAGATTGTTAAATTCAATTGAAGTGTGTTCGGGGAATTTGCCGGCATTATGAAGTGTACAGAGCTTCTCAGCCATAACCTTCAGGGGTTTCCTGTTGCATTGTGATGTTCCATATTTTAACCCGAATAGAATGTAAATACTTTTTATGCTCTGTATAAATAAATTTGGATTTTATGATAGAGATTGTGTAGCTGCATTTAAAGTCCCAAGGGAGAACATTCTCTGTATAGGGATATGCTTTGTTCATTTTTCATTTCAGAGGTGTAGAATTACTTTAACCACTAGCCTACAGGGCACTTATACCCCCTTCCTGCCCAGGCCAATTTCCAGCTTTCAGCGCTGTCGCAGTTTGAATGACAATTGCGCGGTCATGCAACACTGTACCCATATGAAATTTTTTTTGTGTGACAGAGCTTTATTTTGGTGGTAGTTAATCACCTCTGGGTTTTTTAGGTTTCTTAAACAAACCAACAACCACTGAAAATTTTGAAAAAAAAATGTTTTTCTTAGTTTTTGTTCTAAAATTTTGTAAATAAGTGATTTTTCTCCTTCACTGATGTGCACTAGTGAGGCTGCAGTGATGGACACTGATAGGCTTCACTGATGGGCACTGATAGGTGGCACTGGTAGGTGACACTGATGGGCATTGACAGGCATCACTGATGGACACTGAAATGCAGCACTCATATATGGCACTGATAGGCTGCACTGACTGGCACTGATAGGCGGCACTGACTGGCGCTGTTAGGTGGCACTGACTCGCACTGTTAGGAGGCACTGGTAGGCAGCACTGACGGGCACTGATAGGCGACACTGATGCACACTGATAGGCGGCACTGACTGGCACTGATAGGCGGCACTGACTGGCACTGATAGGTGGCACTGATTGGCAGCACTGATAGGTGGCACTGACTGGCATTGATAGCTGGCATTGACTGGCACTGATGGGTGACACTGAAAGGCAGCTCAGATGGGCACTGATATATGGCATTGATGTGGCACTGATGGGCACTGAAATGTGGCACTGATGGGCACTGGCAGGTGGCATGGATGAGCACTGAGAGCTGGCACTGATGGACACTGACAGGTGGCGCTGTTGGGGCTACACAGATCATCAGGGCACACTGATCAGCAGTGCTCTGATGATCTGTGTACATGTCCCCTCCACAGAAAGCCGATTACCGGCTCTCCTCTCCTCACGAGTTGTCAGCGTGACAGCTTGTGGGGAGAGAAATGCTGATAACCGGCATTTCCCTGTTTACATGTGGACATAGCTGATCACATGACCAAGCCGACATCTTCGGCTCTTTCCGTGGATCGGTGATCCGCTGTGTCCATTGGACACAGCGCACCGCCGATCGCCGCCGCGCTCTGGGAGGCGCGGATGCACAGTTAGAATGTGAGGACGTCATATGACGTCCTCCCCAGAACGAGAGAAACCACCTTGCGTCGTCATATTACTATATGGCGGGCGGTTAAAAGTGATATTAAAAGCAATAAAAAAAACAATTATATTTACCTGCTCTGTGCAGTGGTTTTGCACAAAGCAGCCCCGATCCTCCTTTCCTCGGGTCCCCCGCCAGCGCTCCTGGACCCTCCTTCCTGCCGTGTGCCTCCAGAACAAGCAGCTTGCTATTGGAGCACCAAAGCAGGCTTGCTCCCGAGCTGCTGCTCTGCTTGTCCATTCACACACAGAGCTCGGTCCCGCCCCCTGTCTCTCCTCATTGGCTCACACATTTACTGGCTGTGATTGACAGCAGTGGGAGCCAATGTCTCCTGCTGCTGTCTCAGCGAATGAGGAGGGAGAGTCCCCGGAGAGCTGAGCCTCTCGTATACATTGCTGGAATGCAGTGGGGCTCAGGTAAGTATTTGGGGGGCTTGGGGGCTGCATAGCACAATAGAGGTTTTTTACCTTAAGGGCTAGTTCACACCTTGTGCAGTGACCTGCACTTTTCCACAATGAATCATGTAGATCACTGCAAGAGCACATAGAAAATAGAGGTGTTCTATGTGCCTCATTCACATGTGCGTTGAGGTGTGGTATTTGTACATTTTGACACCACGTACATATACCACATGAACACATATAAATGCAACACAACTGAAAATGAGGCTATAAAAATAAATTGTTGTTAGTATTTTGACCCTTCCAGGGACTTGTCACTTCACAATGGATGCATGAACAAGCATAAATAAACAACAAGTGCAATGCACATGAAAAAGAATGTTAGATGCACAACAGCGTACATGCATTTTTGGTGTTATGTGCAGTATGGTGTGAACGGACCCTTACTCTTAGTACATTTTAGCATGGATGGTATCAGTAGTTCACTGGCTGACTTTATTGAAAACATTTCTCATCTCATCCATCCATGCATTATAGATCTGATGCATTTCAGACCACACAGGGTCATAGGTAATCGAAACTGAAATTAAGGACCATATAGGTAAAACATCAGCCCTGAGCTACACTGACATAAGATGTTCCCAATGAAGAGATTGTATATGTCTGGTTGTGTTGCTGGCCTGTGCCCCGAGTACATGTATGATCTGCCTTGTACCACCACTTACTAAGCTTTGGGGAATGAGTGGTTTTCTTTGCATGTTATTTCAACTTTACTGGCTGCCTCAAAATGCTTTTTTGGCCTGACAATTAATATCAGGTGAGTTTTATATGAGTTTTATCTGTTTTTTTTAATCTTTTCCTTTATAGCTTATACAGTATACTTTTTATGTACTGTAGATAATTTGTATTTTCTTATTTGAAATAAAAAATGAATACTTGTCAGATTTTTCATTTGAAGCCGTGTATCACGGTGACATAATACATTCTTAGAAAGCATCATTTATTCAACTGTCAAATTGCTATCCCCTTTGACAAGTGGAGACTAGAAATGAGATAAAAACACAGGAAAATAAATCAAGTTACAACCTATCTAGTCTAGTACCACATTTTCCCTGGGATTAGTATACATAGGCTGCCTGGTTTCTTGGAATTTGTAACCTGATGCATACTCTATAACTCTACTCACATAACTGTCATCGGGTCCATCTTCTTCATAGCTGACAGGTGCATAAAGTGAGATGAGCCAATAAAATTTTAGGATGATATTGCTCAAGATTGGTGGAGGAGCTAAAAAAAACTGCCTCCAGCATGTGTCACGCTATAATCTTAACTGCCTATGATGTCATGTCTGACACTCTTGCGAGTTTATATTTATTACATCTGAGGGAATCCCAGACCAGGTCAAGGCACTCTTCATAGTACCATACGATCATGAAGGCAATGGTCCAGATTCATCAAGCATTCTATGTTAAACATATGTACAAAACCTATGTACAATGAGCTGTAGATTTAATCATGCTTTAGTGACGATTCCCTGAAACCAGGGCTTCATTATAGAGCATACACTATACTGCCAAACGTTTGTGGACACCTATCACACCTACATTATATGACTCCATACTCATGCTACAAAACCTTTCTTCTGCATTGTATACAGTTGACCGCCCCCTCTTCCTCAAAAAAAAATGAATTTCCTTGGCTTCCAGGACTCTGCTCTTTCCCTCAAGGGATCCCTCAAGGCTCCTTCCTCAGACCCCTTCTATTCTCTATCTACACCTCCTCACTTGGTCAGTTAATAACCTCCCATAGCTTCCATGCCAATCTGTAAGCTGATGACACCCAATTTATTTTTATTACTACTCACCCTCTCAATCTCCTTAACTATGTCAATTCCCTCCTCATTAGCCTACTTCTATACAGACTATCCCCTCTGCATTCTGTAATGAATGCTTCTACCAAGCGAGGCTCATTCATTGTACCAAGCTCTTAGCATCTGCCACCCCTCTTTGCCAATCCTTCCATTCACCTCCGCTCACCCAAAAAGAAATTCAAAATACTAACAACTAGATACAAAAGCCATGCACAACTCTATCCCAAGTTAATGCACATCACCAACCTCCCAAACTGTCCTCTCCTCTCATCCTGGGACCCCATGCTCTGTAGGCATCACATCACTTCCTTCTTTTCCAGCACCATTTCTATTCTTTGGAGCTCTCTGCTTCAATCGACTTGGCTATTTTCTACTCCTACTGTCCGCTTTACACAAACCCTAAAAACACATTTCTTCAGAGAAGTCTATCCTGCCTGTACCTAACAGTTACATTTTCTCCATCAGCTCTTCCTTACACAACTGTTACTTATTGTATCACTTGACCTTCCTTATTAAATTGTAAGCTCTCCAGGGCAGGACCCTCCTAACCAACTTGTCTTGAATTGTATTGTAATTGTATTGTCTCTCTTTATATGGTAAAGTGCTGCACAAACTGTTGGCACTATATAAATCCTCTTTAAAAATACCAATAATATGGCCAAAATGATTGAGTTTAGGTGTTTCCAGTGGAGGGTACTGTTAATGCTATAACATACAAAGACATACTGGAGAATTGTGCACTTCCAACCTTGTGGCAACAGTTTGACGGAGGGCTAATTCTGTTCCAGAATTATTGTGTATCTGTGCACAAAGTCAGATCGATAAAGATATGGTTTGACCAGTTTGGTGTAGAGGAACCTGAGTGGTCCTGTGCAGTGCCCTGACCTAAACCCTGCTATACACTTTAGGATGAGATGGAGTTTCTTTTGCGGGCCAGGTCTCCTTGTTCAACATTATTACCTGACTTCTCCAATGCTCTGAATGGGCCCAATTTCCTAAAAACACAATCCAAAATATTATGGAAAGCCTTCTCAAAAGAGAAGGCTTTGCAGCAAAGTTAATCCTTTTTTATGTGGGTAATTGCCAAAGTCCTTCCCAGAATAATTGGTCTTGCTATGTAGGTACTGTGTTGGGCACGGCGTCAGACCCCAGACCTTCTCACCAAACTCATGACCAAAGGAATAGCCAATCTAAAACTGCGATGTCACGTGCGTAACAATGCCATGCCCAGCTGCACCCTGCACAACGATTTTCCAGCTAATTGGACCACAATCGATGTACCTGCAGCCTGGGAGCGTTTGTTACTGGGTCAGGTTAATTACGCAATTAACCCTTCACACTGCCACCACCTCCTTTTTATACAGAGAAAGAGGAAACTCAGCAATACACTAGGATGATTGGTTAACTGTCAGTATCCCGCTATCTCTACAGACCGGTTATACAGAGTGTCACGTCTATGGTAGTGAGCTCTATAAAACCACAGCTTGGGGTTCTCCAGGGCGCAGAGTCTAAGCCCCATCCTGCTTGTTCACCAGGGCCCCTGATGGTGGGGATGGACTTGGAGCAGGCTAGAACCAGGTCGCAGCCCCCAGGTACACCCAGCTGAGGTAGAAGAGACCGCTAGCGGGAGCAGGGTGCAATAGGAGAAGAGACAGGAGATCCAGTAGACAAGCCAAGGTCAGGACAGGCGGAAAACTAGCGATGTCAGGAACGAGTTGGGCTCAGTACATGGATAGACAATAAGAGGAATGGCAGGGATGAAGCAGGGGTCGGTACACAGAAATACAATAACAGTACACAGGAAAGCTCCGACAACAACCGTTGCTCAGGCAATGTGGCCCACTCTGAGCACATCTTAAATAGACAGGCAGACAAGGAGGTGGGACAGGAAGTGATGGAAGGGAAGAACATAAACCCAGGGAAAAACAGACGACGCCCATAGGTGAGCACAGAACAACACACATGTGAATGAATCAAGGGCAGCATGGAGGTAAATGTAACACACAAGAGGCTGCAAGCTAACTTGTGACACAGAGGGTTAAATACTCATAGTAGCGCTCTTCAGCGGCAGGGATACGTAAGTTACATTCAGGAGCTATAGAAACAGTTCAACACTTTTAGAAAGTAAGATTTATTACCAAAAGGTTAAAATAGTGCAGTGAAAATATTTACAGAAAGAAGATGTAACCAATATATATATATATATATATATATATATATATATATATACACACACATACAGTTGCAAGAAAAAGTATGTGAACCCCTTGGAATTCCATGGAGTTTTGCATGAATTGGGCATAAAATGTGCTCTGAACGTCATCTAAGTCACAACAATAGAAGAACACAGTCTGCTGAACATAATACTACACAAACATTAGATGTTGCCATGGTTTAATTGCACATAACATGTAAACATTCACAGTGCAGGGAGGAAAACGTATGTGAGGCCCTAGCTTAATGACTTCTCCCAGAGCTAATTGGAGCCAGGAGTGAGCCTACCTTGACTCCAATCAGTGTGATGATTTTGGATGTGTTGCTGACAGCTGTCCTGCCCTTAAAAAAAACACACCTGTTTTGGGTTTACTGGTTTCAAAAAGCACTGTCTGATGTGAACCATGCCTCGCAGAAAAGAGCTCTCAGAAGACCTATGATCAAGAATTGTTGACTTGCATGAAGCTGGAAAGGGTTACAAAAGTATCTCCAAAAGCCTTGATGTTCATGTGTCCACGGTAAGACAGACTGTCTACAAATGGAGAAAGTTTAGCACTGTTGCTACTCTCCCTAGGCGTGGTCGTCCTGTAAAAATGACTGCAAGAGCACAGCGCAGAATGCTGCATGAAGTAAAGAAGAATCCCAGAGTGTCAGCTAAAGACCTACAGAAATCTCTGGCACATGCTAACATTTTTGTTGACACATCTACAATAAGGAAAACATTAAACAAGAATGGAGTACATGCGAGGACACCACAGAAGCCATTGCTGTCCAAAAAGAATATTGCAGCACGTTTGAAGTTTGCAAAAGAGCACCTGGATGTTCCACAGCACTACTGGCAAAATATACTGTGGACAGATGAAACCAAGATTGAGTTGTTTGGGAAGAACACACAACACTATGTGTGGAGAAAAAAAGGCACAGCACACCAACATCAAAACCTCATCCCCACTGTAAAACATAGCGGAGGGAGCATCATGGTTTGGGGCTGCTTTGCTGCCTCAGGGCCTGGACGGATTGTTGTCATTGATGGGAAAATGAATTCCAGAGTTTATCAAGACATTTTGCAGGAAAACGTACGACCATCTGTCCGCCAACTGAAGCTCCGCAGAGGATGGGTGATGCAACAGGACTATGACCCAAAGCATACAAGTAATTCAACAAAACAATGGCTGCAACAGCACAGAATACGCCTTCTGGAGTGGCCCAGTCAGAGTCCTGACCTCAACCCGATTGAAATGCTGTGGCATGACCTTAAGAGAGCAATTCACACCAGACATCCCAAGAATATTGCTACACTGAAACAGTTTTGTGAAGAGGAGTGGTCCAAACTTACTCCAGATCGTTGTGCAGGTCTGATCTGCAACTACAGGAAACGTTTGGTTGAGGTTATTGCTGCCAAAGGAGGGTCAACCAGTTATTAAGTCCAAAGGTTCACATACTTTTTTCTCCCTGCACTGTGAATATTTACATGTTATGTGCAATTAAACCATGGCAACATCTAATGTTTGTGTAGTATTATGTTCAGCAGACTGTGTTCTTCTATTGTTGTGACTTAGATGACGTTCAGAGCACATTTTATGCCCAATTCATTCAAAACTCCCACGTAATCCCAAGGGGTTCACATACTTTTTCTTGCAACTGTAAATATACAGAGCACAACAGCACAGCAAACAGATAACAGAAAAACGTTTAGGTAAATAAGTACTTGCCAAATAAATGCCTGGGGTTAAGCAGTTTCAAGTCTGATGAGCTAAAAAGGGATTTCTGGTCTCGCACTCAGTTTCGTTGTTGCAGCGAGATTCTCCTTTGCTTTCTGTCTGATAGATGTTATATCGAAGACGGTCCTCACTTCTCTGACTACACCCAAAACATAACAGCTTCTTTTTCTACACAACATCAACTGGTATCTTCACTACCTTATTTGGTAGAGTATGGTTTAAACAGCTACACTGAATGCATTCCTGAGGGAGGGGGTGGAATGAGGGGATACAGAAGACTTCTTAATACAGTGAGAGCCTGTGCCTGGCACTTGTATGCACGATACTACACTCCCCCCCCCCCCCCCCCCCCCCCCCCCCCCCCCACAGGTGATGGCATAGGAGTTTAAGAGCAATACCAAATTGTAGAAGTTTAGGGTTAAATGAAGAATTGCACCTCTCCCTGTGGGCATGATTGTGACAGGTACTATATAGTGTGCGTTGATTATTATGTAACTATGTTAAAAAAAGGAGAGAAGAGTATACTGATCTGGTCCTCTTCTTCCTTTCTTTTCTTTTAGTAGACAGTGAGGGGGGGCTGTGGTCCCATTCCAGCGCAGATGCCATATTGGGAGCAGCAGGCAAATAAGGCCCTCACACAGGCATCTGCTATAATACGCCATTGTGAATGAGGCATTAGTATCTGGAACTTTCCTATCTTTACAACTGGAGCTGCAAGACTGATGCTGTGCTGCTGCGTTGCTGGTTTTTGTGGCATAATTGTACTATTCATATTACTATTATAGAACTGGAGAGAATTTTTTCTTTTATTTTGCTTGTAATTATGGTAAATATACTACCATCAGTATAGGCTGTTAGGATCATTCGACTACATAAGCCAGACAACTGCACAAAGTAGAGGAACTTCAATAGGGCTTAAATATTTTATTCTATTTAAAAAGGTTTCTATGGTCAAAGCATACAATTTCATTCTATAACATCAGCATTGTAAGAGTAATACAAACAATATTCATATTTGAAAATCCAATATAAGTTTACTTCTCCTTCCACTGCATGCTTTGCAGCTTCTTGTTTTTCTGTTTACATTCAATTTCTAAGTACTACATATCCCATGGTACCTAACTGCCTTCAAGCAGTGATTCTTGTACTGACTCCACCTCCTGAAGCTCCTCCTCTCAGCACCTCTGTAGTTTAGAAGGCAGGCTCTATGAAATGTGTGACACAGCAGGGCCTACTCACAGGACATAATGAATACATGTCACAGAATTCAAAGAAGGAAATGTGTGGGGATCTTCACAAACGAAGTTTACATACTTCAAGATCGTTCACATTAAGGGCTCATGCACACTGCAGCTGATAAACTCACGTTTAGGAGCTGTTCAGCGTTTTTTTTTCAGCAGCCCCTGAACTCACCCTAATGTTTTTCTATGTGTCCATGTACACATCTTTGTTTACAGTCATTTACAGGCATTTGAGTTTACAGTTGTTTTTTTAACGCAGAAAACGTGCGTCCAGCAGTCGATTTTATCAATGTTTCAAAAGCAAAACGCTTGTAAACGCAGCAAAACTTCTTTTAGAAGCTTTTGCGTCTGAATTTTTTTTTTAACTCTTCCAGTTCCCAATGTTGTCCAGAGCCTTTTTTCATCATGAAAAATGCATGCAAAGCGTATTCAAGGTACTCAGATGGACAAAACACTTAACAAAGGATGTTCCTACCAAGCTTGTCACACATTGTAATGACCAATTCACATCTCAGACCTCTACCACCCTTGGAAACAAAAGATATGTTAATGACCATTCACACTTCAAATTCCTCATGCAGACCCCCTGCCAGGTGACCTTAATGACTCACTCCACCAGACACTCTCCCACCCTTAGAAACAAAAGAAATGTTAATGAGCAGCTCACACTTAGTTATCTGAACACATACTGCTGTCTCTGCTTCTACTCTCTGTATTTCTCTGAAACAGTCTGAAATAGTTATTAATTTACCACTTTTCAGTGCATTCTGGGCATTTGGGAGGTTCTCCTGTGCTTATTTTTTAAAAGCGCTTCTAAATGCAAACGTACATAAATGCACATAAACGCATTATGCAAACGCGGCTAAAAACAGATGTTTTTTAACCTACGTTTTCCAGCAGTCAGTTTCCATCGTTCAGAAGTGTCCCGTGTACATGGGGCCTAATAGGAGAAATGTAGGCTAGAAATATTTAAATAAAATTAATGTTAAAATTAATATAATGCTTAACTAGTAGCCGACCGCAGATAGCCGAATGACGGCTGCACTGCGGCCGGCCAGTTCTGGGTGGACGTCATATGACGTCCTCCCAGAACGCGCTCTCCTGCGCGCCCCAGGGGGCGCGCACCCGGCAATCTCCGTGATCGCTGTGTCCTACGGACACAGCTGATCACATGATGTGGTAAAAGGCCAATCACAGCGGCCTTTTACCACGTGATCAGCGGTGTCCAATGACACGCTGATCACAGGGAAATGCAAGTGCCGGTTCTCGGCTGCACTTTCCTCACACTGTCAGATCGTGAGGAAAGTACTGCCGAGAACCAGCAGCTGTCAGAGCGGGGATCGGCACCGATCATCAGGGCACTGATGATCAGTGCCCTGATGATCGGTGCCCAGCAGTGACACCCGCAAGTTCCGCCCACCTGTGCCCAGCAGTGCGCCCACTAGCTCCGCCCACCCGTGCCCAGCAGTGCCCCCACCTGTGCCCAGCAGTGCACCCACCTGTGCCACTCTGCAGTGCCACCTACCTGTGCCCAGAAGTGCCACCTACCTGTGCCCACCTGTGCCCACCCACCTGTGCCCACCCACCCGTGCCCGCCAGTGCCACCCACCTGTGCCCACCCACCAGTGCTGCCCACCAGTGCCACCCACCAGTGCAGCCCAGCAGTGCTGCCAGTCAGTGCCACCAGTCAGTGCCCAGGGGTTGTGCCAGTCAGTGCCGCCAGTCAGTGCCCATCAGTGATGCCAGTCAGTGCCGTCTATCAGTACCCATAATCAGTGTCACCTATCAGTGCCGCCTATCAGTGCTGCATATTAGTGCCGCCTATCCGTGACACCTCATTAGTGCTGTCTATCAGTGCCGCCTATCCGTGTGCCACCTCATTAGTACTGCCTATCAGTGCCCTTTAGTGCTGCCTATCAGTGCCCATCAGTGCCGCCTATCAGTGCCCATCAGTGCTGCCTCATCAACACACATCAGTGAAGGAGAAAAAATACCTGTTTGAAAAATTTTATAAAGAAACTTTTTTTTTTCAAATTTTTTGCACTTTTTTTATTTATAGCGCAAAAAGTAAAGTGCCCAGTGGCTATTAAATACCACCAAAAGAAAGCTCTATTTGTGAGAAAAAAATGATCAAAATTTCATATGGGTACAATGTTGCATGACCGCGCAATTGTCATTCAAAGTGAAACAGCACTAAAAGCTGGAAATTGGCTTGGGCAGGAAGGGGGAATAAGTGCTCTGTAGGCTAGTGGTTAAAGGACTTGTTCACACGAAATTTCTATCAAAGTGCGGCAGCGCTGAAAGCTGAAAATTGGCCTGGTAAATAAGGGGGTATAAGTGCCTGGTAGGCAAGTCGTTAAACAAAATACAATATGGTAAGGAATACTGTATATGATTTTAAATGTTGACTACAGATATGCTTTAACTTTAGGAGACTTTACAGATTGTTTGTTTTTTTTATTTGACACCTTTTTCTGATCCCTTGAAGAATGTAATGTGTGAGTTTGGCTGTGTATACTGTACATTCTGCAGTGTTATATATCTTCAGATGGAATTATCTTTCATGTGCCGCTAGGGGGCCCTAAAATGCTGTTACAAACACAGCAGGATGTTAGCTTTCAGATAATGGCATTACATGACCATGAAACCAATATACTGTATGTTCTCTGCTTGGCTTGGAAACCTAATTGAGACTTAAAATAAAAAAATCTGCTACATAGAAATATACACAAAAAACAAAGAGATAAAGTGTAGTGCGAAATCAAGGAAAAAAGACTTCCATTTTACAATATTCCAAATGAAAGGCTACAATGTAAGGGCCAGTTTACACCAGAACGTGTGTTCTGTCTGTGTTTCCCACACCGTGTTCAAGACACACTTACGATCTGCAGCGAGTGTCAGTGTTAATTTAAGGACACCCCAAACACAGGTCGCAAACATGCGTCTCCATGCATTGGATTACATAGTACAGTAGTACTGCACTACTTTCGATGTTATCTGGCGTGATTTCAGCTCTTTCAAATGAATGGGCTGAAAACACACTGCACCTGGATCGCATGTGAATCACACAGGAACGTACAGTGCATTTCTGTGTGATTCATGGCGGACACACTACAGACATAGTACAGGAGATGACCAGAGACTGCGGACATAGTACAGGAGATGACCAGAGACTGCGGACATAGTACAGGAGATGACCAGAGACTGCGGACACAGTACAGGAGATGATGACCAGAGACTGCGGACACAGTACAGGAGATGACCAGAGACTGCGGACACAGTACAGGAGATGACCAGAGACTGCGGACACAGTACAGGGGATGACCAGAGACTGCGGACACAGTACAGGGGATGGCCAGAGACTGCGGACACAGTACAGGGATGGTCAGAGACTGCGGACACAGTACAGGAGATGACCAGAGACTGCGGACACAGTACAGGAGATGACCAGAGACTGCGGACACAGTACAGGAGATGACCAGAGACTGCGGACACAGTACAGGAGATGACCAGAGACTGCGGACACAGTACAGGAGATGACCAGAGACTGCGGACACAGTACAGGGGATGACCAGAGACTGTGGACACAGTACAGGGGATGACCAGAGACTGCGGACACAGTACAGGGATGGTCAGAGACTGCAGACAAACTAGAGGAGTCAGAGACTGCTGACATAGTACAGGAGATGACCAGAGACTGCGGACACAGTACAGGAGATGACAGAGACTGCGGACACAGTACAGGAGATGATCAGAGACTGCGGACACAGTACAGGAGATGACCAGAGACTGCGGACATAGTACAGGGAAAATACCAGGGACACAGTACAGATGACCAGAGACTGCAGACAGTGCAGGGAAAGACCAGAGACTGCAGACAGTGCAGGGAAAGACCAGAGGCTGCAGACAGTGCAGGGAATGACCAGAGGCTGCTGACCTTTGGGGAGGGAGGGGGAGCGGGTACCTGAATTTGACAGGTACCCGCTCCCACTTCCGCGGAGGTGTCTTTCCCTCTTCTTCCCGCGCCGGCTTCTGTGACAGCCGGGTGCCCACTACGCATGCGCGAGAAGCGCTGCACTTTATGAATGGCCCGGCGCCTTCTGGGACCTGTTATGTGTCCCAGAAAACACTGGACCATTCAAAAGCGCAGCGCATGGACAGTGGGCACCCGGCTGTCACAGAAGCCAGCGCGGGAAGACTGTGCAGCGCTGGAGTGAGGAACAGGTAAGGCCCTGCAGGAGAGAAACAGCTGAGCGGCCGGCCCGGTATTCTGACATGGTGGCGGCAGAAATACCGGACCGGCCGCTTTATATTCGCTGTATAAGACGCACTGACATTTTCCCCCCTTTTTTTGGGGGAAAAAAATGCGTCTTATGGAGCGAAAAATACGGTACTGCTCCTAGCACCAAAATAGGATACTGGTTATTCCAACTGGCTCTTTGTTTAGAAAGTCTGGAGACCTCTGGTCTAGGTGTTCAGTTTTTGATGAAAATGAGGAATATGCATGGTTTAGAGTGTATGTATACCCCAATTTTTGTTGTTTTGGATAGGAGCAGGGAATTGTTAAAACCCTTGTCAGGTTATTTATTGCTGTCTGTGTTCTGTTGGGGAGATTTCCCTTAAAGTATTAATAAATCCTCAGCATTTTGTAGCTTAAAGTAGAGCGATAGGCAAAACTTTTTTCATTCTGGATAGAGTAGGGGAGGTATATAATCCCTGTCAGACTTTTTTTTGCCATCTGTGTCCCATTGCAGAGATTTCTCTTTGTCCCATAGCCAGACAGGAAGTGACAGGAAATCCCTGCAAGTTAAGGGAATTTTTTGGAGACCCCCAGGTCACCAGAAATAGTGCCCCCATTCAATATTTTCGGCTCTATAATTTTTCTGGGGACAACCCAAAATTTGGTATTTTCTTTTTACTTTCACTTTCAATTATATCGGCGATAAACAGGACAATTAGAGCGGGTGAATCTCCTTAAAGCGGAATGCATTTATTTATTTTTTTTTAAAAATGTGAACTTAGCCTTTGAGCATCTTGAGGACTGCGGACTGATATCATAGTATAGTACCCAAACCGCTGCATAAATTGTCAGTGATTTATTATATTTATAGTAAATAGTGGTTTATTTTTTGGTTAAATAAAGTGAAGAAGGGTTCAAACAAATGTCAGATATTTACTGTTCCTGTGCCTTCCTGAGCCAGTATTGTGATACTACACTGATAATGTAATCACACTGAACATGCCAAGGTCTGAAATGAATATTTGTAAGATATTAATAACAGGAATTCTGGCACTGACTTACAATGCTGCACATATTAGTGCCAAAAAACCTGAAACCTCTTGCTTGACCACATACATAAGTTTCTGGCCATTTCACATTTTTGGCCACTTTTTACCAGATTTCCAAACCGGCAAATGGATAAATGCAATGAACCACAATGCAATGTACTGTATATACTGTAAAATGATCTGAAGTCTTGGTGATAGCTTGCCTTGATCCATGAAATTGTTTTTGCAATTGAAAGTGGTTGCTATTGCTTGAAAAATGCATGATCAGAATAAATATCCACGCTGGAAGAAAATGGTCTGGTGTTTCAGGAGGAAGTTGACATTTTCCCCTTTTCACATTCTATAGTAAATCATAATATATAAGCTCTGATGTTACTATTAATGGGGATATTAGAAAGTGACAAGTTAGGTGCTGAAATGTGTGAAACAAAGAACTGGCCCACATCCAACCATTTCTTTGGGTTCATATTGGCTCCATGATTCATCACTTATATAAATCACATTGGAGTGCATGATATTACCGCTGGGGAATGAGAATAAATCTACATAGTTATTTTTCCCTCTTCTATGGAAAAAACTCCCCTGTGTAGCTGAAGTTAATAGTTAAAAATCCTTTATTGCTATGATGACAGTCAAATAACCTTTTTCTATTGAAGTATATATACTGAGACTATGGACACTCTCATTTGTTTGTATGTCTTTTGTTGCCAAGGTGGACGAAATCTAGGATAATATTACAACTTTCACCCCTATCCAGTCCAGACCAATTTTCAAAACTTTGAGTGACAATTGCTCCGTCATGCAACACTGTACCCATATTAAATATTTTATCCTTTGTTTAAAACAGACAGAGCTTTCTTCTGGTGGTATTTGATCACCACTGTTTGTTTTTATTTTTTTGCTATTTAAATGAAAAAAATACCAACAATTGTGAGAAAAAAAAAATCATTTTTTGCTTAGCTTTCGTTATACAATTTTGCAAATAGATACATTTTCTTCATCAATTCAGGCCGTATTCTGATACATTTTTGGGGTAAAAATATCCCAAAACCGTGTATATTATTTATTCTGTGTGAAAACTATAGAGCCTACAAACTATGGGAAATATATTTGAAAATTGAGCAGTTGAGACCCTAAAATGCTGGATGCTGGTATGATGTATGGCAGTGATCAGCACGCTGATGTGAGGTATGGCAGTGATCAAGACATTAGCATG